AAGTAAGATAAAAAAGTGTGAAACGGATACGATATGAAGGATGTTAATCAAAAATGAATGAGACAGGTAGGGATATGTGAGAAAAAGCAGTAAATGAGGAAATGGGAGGAGAGGAATGAAAAAGATGTCACATACGGCATTCCATTTTATGACCCTTGGAACAGCAACGTTTAAAACAGATTACTTGGCTTGTACAATTCCGGTTTTATGATCCTAATTTTCAGGATCTTCCTTCGTACTCCGTTGGTGGTTCTTGGGTGCTCTGAGGAAACTTGCAAATGATGTTCCTGGATCAGTCCGGTGTCCACTGTCGACTAGATGTTGCAGGATTGAGCTGTTCAAGCTTCTCACTGTTCCCATTCGAATGTTCAGATATCCTCCTAAACAAATGACTCGTTGTGTTTGATATAGCAAGCAATCAAGGGCATGTAAACTGATTAGTACTGATGAGGCAATTTCACCTTATGAATGCTCCAAGATATTTTACTCCCAAATCGCATTGTCACGTCACAATGAGGCCCCATGATCCACCATGGTTTTTAGTGTAAATATTTCACAGTAATCAGGGGTTGTCATATAGAAAACACATATCGCTTAAAATCACTTCCAGAACATCAGGTGATCTTTGCACATACTACATACAATTTAAATTCGACGAAATTTATCGCCAAAGAGATGGGGTAGCAATGGGATCTCCCCTGGGTCCACTGTACGTAAATGTCTTCATGGCGAAGCTGGAGAATAAAATCCTAAAAAGAACAACCGATCGTTGTACATTTTACAATCACTATGTGAATGATATTTTGTGCTTTGTTGATGGCCGTGTCTATTATTCGATAACCTTAAAACTATTCAATTCAGTACGTCCAAACATGAATTTCACTTTAAAGAACGAAAAGAATGAGCAGATCGCCTTTCTGGACGTTCTATTAAGCCACCGGCCAGACGGAACTATCCAACGTGCCATCCACTGGAAGTCATCGTAGAACAATCGGTATATCCATTTCAAAAGCTATGTGCATCTGGAACCTGATTCAGTGCTTAAGTGCCAGGGCGCGTAGAATATGGACAGACGATATCATCGATAGAAAATTGAGGCTTATCCGATAGGTTTTCCTTCTCAATGGATACCCAGACCGATTGCCAAGCAAGATCACTACCGTTGATAAAAAACCATTTACATACCTTTCTAAGGTGATACAACTGCAGGGCTGGTGACACGTAAACTGAGTATAGTTTCAGAAAAAGCGTTCCCCGCAGCGAAACTGCGCATTGTGTTCATCTGCAGGCCACTTTTGAGCTTTCAACTCAAGGATAAATTGCCTTTTTCTGCAGTTTCTTTTTATATTTACCTGTTCCTGTGGGACAAGGTATATTGACCGCACGAGCAGACGTTTATCTGAACAAGTCCATGAGCACCACTCGGCCTGGCTGAATAGTGCAGTAATTAAGACCATTTACAGCTCGATCGTTTAACACCTAGTGGAATCAAACCACGTTGTTAATGTGTCCTAGGCGTTTCGACCACCCTACTTAGTTCACAGTCGTCGAACAAAGAGGATTAAGAGTCGCATTCTGGGCACAGCGAAAGCGATCGGAATCCGCCCACATAATCCCCCATGTGCTCGCGAAAACAATTCGTAAGAACACTCGGTCTTCCATGGCCAACACCACACATGACACAGCCATCCCACCACCCATCCTCAATGACTCAAACCAGTGCACATGTGTGAAGACCAACGTGTGAGCAACATCCGGTCATTGAACTGGATTGTTGATTACTTATTTTCAAACTTGACATGATTTCTCCCTCTTCCTTTCTAAACAGTTTGATATAAATTGCGATGAATTAGTCTGTCGAAGAATCACGCAAACGAGCTTGTTCGCTACACCAGATTTGTTCTGATAAAGTATAATGTTGCTGTGGTTCGAATGCTATTCCAAAAACTGAAAAAAGAATTTGCATAATTTAAGGAGAATCGCACCAGGGTAATATAACCCGTGGTTAAGATTTTACCCACATATGATATATAATGTAAATATAATATATATATATATATAATATGTATAATGTAAATATTTATGTACAGTACCGGAAAGTCCTTCATTCTGACCGTTGTGGTGTGCATTTGCTTATATACCGGTTAGTACGCGCTTCACAACACCAGTTGTTTGTATGATCATATTTCACCGAAGCAGTAACATCAGGCATTAAATGCTTCGCCAATACGAGCCAGATTTTAGCTGAGGATAATTTTCGCTTCTCAAAGGAACTGAGTTGGTAAAATTCTAATTATTGGTTTACTTGATGCGTTTTAACTCAGTCAACCATAAAACACTGTGATGTTTGTCTGTCTCTGCCTGTGTGCTTGGATCTCTATCAAACGATCTACCTAACATTTTAATTATTCCCATTTTGTTCTCTTTCGTTCGAAACCCACCCGGTCATCTGGCCTTTTACTCTCTAACTAACCGTAAATTTGGGACCGTTATTTTTGTTACCCTATCAATTTTATTCCTGATGGAAATCAGCATTGTGTTTACGGCACTAAACGGAACCCATACTCACTTATTGCTCGGGTAATAAACTGTCTGTGACATCATCAGGACAACACCAGGGTGGTCAGTGCACACTAATAAGCGGTCAGCTGACAGATATGATAAGCTGATTTGTGTGAGACCAGCCAGAGTCGATACAGCCGCATAGTGTGCACCTTTAAACTCACAGCGCAGACACACACACAGGCACTGATAAGAAAGATCAAGTGAATGCACAAAGTAATTCACAGAAATATACATATCCACATATACAGCATACATATATACACACGCGCTCATACGCGCTTGCCTCATTGCACACAAATCGTAACCAACAGACAACTGATTATGTCCTACCAGCTCAGACCAATCTCTAAGCTGAGAACGCCCCCGTCAAGTCAACCACGGCTGGTGAATTACTTCGGTCCATGACCTTGAGAAGGTCACTGAAATAAACGATTTGACGAGACGCAATCACAGGCTTGCACACAACCGAAAAGGGCACATATACAGAAACGCACCGAACATCATCTTCTGTGCTCCCGAGTGAATTTCAGTTAGTGGCCATTGCGTTCCTCACATTTTCGCCGTCCAAACTTGATCGTTTATTTCGGCTAGACAACATTTGCTTCCAGCAGCATGGCGTATGATATGGGTGATAATATGGAGGGAGATTATTTGGTAAGTGTAACTGGAATCATATTTGACGAATGTATTCAGCTTCGATCATTTCGATATTACTTCTAATCCATCAATCACCGTTGTAAAGAGTCGAATTAAGGTTCTGTCAAACATCTTGCTACGTTATTGATTTGATCTCCATTCCACTGAGTATTATTCATGGTTCACATATATTAAAATGGATAATGGAACTAGGGTTGTTTTATTTTTTCATACAAATTGTAGCTTTCAAGTAGATTTTCAAACACCACGCAAGGAATACTGAAAGGTCATATCGTTTTCCGCTCACAAATATTATTTTCCATTTTACTTCCTTTTACTGAATATACAAAGATATAATTTCCAGGATTGGAGAAGCGGCCAATCTAAGGACTTTCATTCAACACACACAATGGGGAAAGTCAGGCGGTGGTGGTGGTGGGATTCGAACATACATCCCAAGGGTGATAATTTGGAGACGTTACCACCGGGCCACCAAAGATGAATGAAACGAAGTGAGAAGGCCATGGTTTAAGCGGTCTCTATCAACTCTCCTATATCTCATGTGCACTACCTAAACATATAAAGCATGTTTCCGGTTCTCCGATGTTGAAAATGATAACCGCTTGAAATCGTAAACCGTAAAAGATGAGCACCGCTGATGGTTTGGACATAATAGAAATTTCGACTGAATATTAGTAAAGATAATTATTATCGATTATTTATACTCTGGGCACGGAACACGTAATTTATGGATTGATTTTCATCGGAATTAATTTTCGTACGTTCTCCATCAATTATTGTGATCTGCGATTCATTTTTTGTTAGACATCGCTGCCTCGTTCTGAGTAAAATATTTTTGCTTGAGATATGGATTGGTTAAACCAGATACGGGGACCATACAAAAGGTGTTGCAATCGCTTGGCAAATCATAAATCTGCCCATCACCAAAGAGGTATTGGGTTTGCAGACTGGAGGGAATGTAAGGTAGCTGGTGGATTTGTACCCAGAACCCTCCGGTGAGAGCTATGCGAACCACGTTCGGTGACAACTGCTCGATAATCTAGACTTAACAGCTCGCCAGTTTGCTGCATACTAATGAGCCATGTGACATCAAGCCGTTTGGAACTCTGAATCGAACGGTGAAGCTATGGAAACCAGTTCGGCAAACTGACAGTATACACACGTTCGACAAAACCATAGACAGAATCGAGAAAGTTTCTCGTAAAGGTATTCCTCCCGATTGACTCCTAATTGAATTTAGGAATCGATTGCAGATTGCATGTTCAATCAGGGGATTTCTGAGTGGTCAGTTCGACAATTCCAGATTCCGCTTTATGACTAGATAAGATTCGTTTTAACCACCGGTGATCGGATCGGCAAATGAATTTTACCGTTTGCATCACAATCCGCTCTAGTCTTTTCGTACCCCAGACAAATCAGTAGATTCATTACAGGTGGTTCACAGAAAAATAAGAATATTCGAGCTAAATGCAAATTCAACTCGGTCAGGATGGTCTCAATGCCGGTTGTAACAGTTGAGATTCTTCAAAGACACACTTAGAGAAGTGAACGAACTAAAGAAGAACGAAATTTGTCTGTCACTCCAAGTGGGTAAAAATATGTATTTCTTTTTAGCTTTCGTGTGACGTATATCAAACGATCTGCTAAAACTCTTTGGAGAGTTATATTGGTTTCTTATTTGGCATTAAAGGGGTCAGAGAACATCGAAATTTCTAAAGTTTGAATTGCAAACCCGCTTCACTCACCTTTGCTTACAAGTGAAGTTAGTTGAAGAGAAATTGCTTAAAGGTAACTGTGGAACCGCCCTCGTTGCGATCATAGTTATGTTGAACGAGAACGGAAAAGTCAGATGAGACTTCCATATGGTTGCTTACTCCGACCCCTTGTTCACCGCTTTGCTCTTCCAATTTGAGATTTCCCAAAGCACTTTTCAGACTTTCTTCTACTTGTTTCCTATTTCAATTGATAATCTCTGGTCCTAAGTGCAAAGTTTTTCCTCCAACCGGGTAATAAAGCGATCGGGCGTTGTGCTTGATGTCACAAGTTTAATTCATATTTCCTATAGTCAAAATAAACAAGCAATCAAATTCCAACCTGACGATAACGTGTGTTGTGTTTTCCATCCGTCGCTTGTATTCAGATTAACAAGAATTGCATTGCCCCTCGATATACTTTACTTTATCATGAACATAGACTAAAACGTCCTGCAACAGAGTGTTGGATTAGTGTGTACTATAACGCGGGGCATGAAGCTAAGTGAGCTAAACAACCAAGATCATGCGTATTTGCGTATAAATTGTAATTGAAACTTATTGTATTTAACGTTGGTTTGTTCATTAATTGTATCATTTTGGTCCAGACTATTAAAGGGAATCCTCCAGGGGAATATGACTATCTATGTATATCTGTGTATGTCTGTTTTAAATCCTTTTTTCATCGCATCACTGTTGCACTCGTTTTTCTTAAAGCATAAAAGGGCTAAGTGCCAAGATAAGACCATGTTCAGTCAACTCTTCTTTTAACAATATATTATAGAATGATGAAACCAAAAAGTCCCTTTTTAGTAGTTTGGAATATTCATAAGATTGATGGAATGCGTCTCCAAAGAGACTGTACTGCGTGCGATATAATTATGTGTTCATTAATAAAAAAAGTTTATTATATTAAAAAAACGTGAAGTTCCCTCAGAATGTTTCCGGTAACCTTGACTCTCCTTTTTTCGCCGTAGACCTGATGAAATATTAGGGTGAATTGATACCAAGTGATGTATGTTTTGTGCACATTGCAAGTACAGGATGCAGAAATTTTCAGCTAATGGATGGTGACGTCGAACTACCATTGTCTAAGTATGCTGAAACAAACGGTTCTGAACATCTGAGATTTTATAGTTGATGAAAATTGAATCATATTCTCGAACTACAGTAAAGATGCATCTTATGTGGAGTGTGACACGTATGCATCCGATGTGCAATGCTCTCTGTTCGATAAATGGGTAGAAGCTGACATCTTATGAAAGAGATTTAAGATCCACCCGCTTCTGCAGTTGAATTAAATCGAAGGAATTGTATCTGATCGCGGAGTTACAGTGCTAGGGATCAATTTATTGTTCGATTTTAAACTTCAAATACCAGTGGCGATATTTTGTTTCCATTGTTATTCATCTTCTTTATTGTTTATATAATTGTTTTTATTGATTGCCACGGAATAAAACCAAAAGTAGTAATATTGTTTGCGAATGAATAAATATATTTTACTTTTGTAACACACGTGTTTGGTTACGAGATCCCCTATGGTCAGTGTTCGCTACTTGTGGCTGAGTAAACGGTACACGTGAGTAACAAATGACCACCATTGACTGCGGATGCACAACAAAAAAAACATGCAATTGACAATTCCAAGTAATCTGTTGGATAAAACATTTGAAAGTAAAACTATACTCGGAAAACAAACGAAAATAAGCTGTCTGCCCAAGTCAGGAATGAATTTGTCATCTTTGTATTTCATCTTCCTGACTGGGTATAAGGAAATATTGAGATGTTAAGTTAGGACAACTTAATGCAACAAATTATCTAACATCTGATCTTTCGTGTTATCTGTCAGTGATAGGACACTTGTGATTGCAGCTGACGAAAACAACCATTGAATATTTTCGTTAGCCCTCTCTCAGTTGTTCGTGGGTAGATAAGAGCCGTCTTCACGTTCATCGGTTTCGCACTTCTGACCTTCGGTACATATGGGAAATGTGAAATCGTTACTTACTGTTTCAGGGCAGATGTGATACAAGTTATTCATTCATTGTGATAAAAAGCGAGACTTTTTCCTATTGTTCATCAGAGCACAAAATGTTTAGTGATTTACCTACTATTCGGCTTTCGACGACACACTTCGGGCGTCAACACATTAATCGTC